TTGATTGAGCCAATATGCAGTGTATTCTGGATGGGAAATCTCATTTTGTTCACTGTAATGATGCATAGTGAATGAATGTAAATAAATCAATTTAAATAAAAATAAATAAATTTTAAAAATTCATAAAAAAAGAATTAGAAGAAATGCACCATCCATCTGATGACTAGAAAACACCATAGGGTCACAAGAAATATGGGAAAAAAAAGAAAATACCTCTCCTCCAAGGAAAAATAAGCCCTCTTCATCCCAAGACAGTATGATGAAATACATGGAAATGTCTAATAAAGAATTTTGAATTTTCATGGTGACAAAGCTCACAGAGATCAAAGAGAAGAGAGACAATGAATTGCCAAAGAGGCAGGGGAAAGAAGCTGATGAGCTTCAGGAGGTGAGGAAATTCTTGCAAGATCTAAAAGAGGAATTACACACTTTAAAAAGAATCAAATGGACCTTTTAGAGATGAAGATTATCATACAGGAAGTCAAAACCTCCCTTAAAAGTATTCAAAGAAGACTAGATCACACTTAAAATAGAATCTCAGTTGTAGAAGATAGAATTACTGGCCTAGAAAAATCCACCATGAAGACCGAGAAAATTGTCCAAAAACATGAGAATACTATATAAGAAATACTAGATACCATGAAACGTCCAAACATCCGGATAATTGGTATCCCAGAAGGGAAAAAAAGGGAAAGAGACCCATAAGGGCAATGACAATCTATTCCGTGAAATCCTGTAAGAAAACTTTCCAAACCTAGATAAACATTCAAAGATCCAGTCCCAAGAAACACAAAAGACCCCAAATAGAATCAATCCTAGATGTTCTCCAAGACACATTATAGCCAGATTGAGCAAAACCATAGACAAAGACAAGATACTAAGACTGGCAAGAGAGAAACCGAAAGTTACCTATAAGGGATATCCCATCAAGCTGACAGTGGATCTCTCATCAGAAACAATGCAAGTGAGGAAAGAATGGGAAAATATATTCAAAGTGTTAAGGGAAAAGCAATTGCAACCACGGATACTATACCCAGGAAGATTATCCTTTATATGGGAAGAAAAGCAAGAACATTCTCAGATAAACAAAATCTGAAAGAATTTACCAACACTAGACCAGATCTCCAAGAAATTCTGCAGGGAGTGCTATACCAGGAAAATTAAATACAGTCACACACAGAAATAAGACTTCAAAAACTAAGAAAATGGCCAACTTAATCATGGGGACAAGTCTGGAGTTTAATATTATGTCCCAGAATTTAATTGGGAAAATTGAATTACAACAAAAGATAAAGTACATGAGACTGAACTGGTGAAATAGAACTTTATGACTTTTGACTAAAACATTGTTGATTTTTTTCTAGGCTTTGTTTTCTGATTTTAAGGATTTTTGTCTTGAGCTGCTGATAGGTTCATGTACCTACTATTTGAACAGAATCCCAACCTGTTTCCTGGCTTTAAGTTTTAGGCATATTTCCTTAGCATTTCTTTGATTTATTAAAGTTAAATCTGCTTTTAAATAGAAAAATATAGTAAAAAATACATAATTAATGACCATTGTAAACTATATAGCCTCAGTTAGGTGCTACCTTATAGTATATTCATTCTACTCAGAGATTCATGCCTTAAGTCAGACATGTATTCATAGATATGTATATATCAGCAGAGCTTGCTATTGCAAGTAATTAGATTATTTAAGAAATTTTGTGAATCAATAAAATGTGAGGGGAAAAGGAATGAAAAACAACTGTGGACACCTGAGATAGTGTGGGAGGAGCATGGGAAATGGCAGAGGGTGAGAAATAGGGGGGAAATATAGATATACATACATATATGAAATTAGAAATGGAAAATTATTGAGGATAACATGTATGATTAAGCTACTATGCAGGTCTTCTGGATGGGAAATTACATTTTGTATGCTGTATTCACAATGCTCAGTGAATAAATGTAAATTAATTGAAAAAATAAGAAATAAAAAAAGATTAAAAAAAAGGAAAGGCTAAGAAGTTAGTGAGTAACAAGGCAATGGTAGAAGTAAATGTAAGGTGAATTTTTTCAACAATTCTGACTGTAAAAGGAAGAACAAAATATGACAATAGCCAGAATAAGAAGTAAAATTTAAATTTTTGTTGTTGTTGTTACCACTTCTTTTTAAGCTAGGAACAAAAGCCCAAATGGGTTGCCTTCCCATTCCTCTTTCCAAATACTTCAAATACGTGCAGTTTCAATATCACCCTCAGGAAATCATACGTTTCAGCCCTAGATCAAGGTAATCCCATCTCCTTTGTTGGTGTTCGGTTCAGGAATGTACTAGTGAAGCAATTCTAGGAGATGAAGAGAGGCAAGAAGTGCAGTAGGCTTCTGGAGAGTTGTTCCTTGTTTTTGAGTTTCCGGATCTCTCATTCACTCCTTGCTCCACTTGTATAGATTAGAAACAAAGCATCCTAAAACCAAAAGGTAAATGGCTTTGCCATCATGAAAGGCAGAGTAGAAAGAGCAAGCTGAATCAATTCAGCGATGTAATTCAACAACCTTTATGCTTTAGTCACTGTCCTTTAAGCCATGTAAGCCAGTCCTTATTGCTTAAGCAACTTTAGTCAGATTTCCTGACATTTGCAGCAAAAAGTACAACTGAATAGGGAGCACATAGAATTTTTGTTTTTTAGGCAGAGGTAAAGGATTCAGTGGAAAGGGAAAAACTTAAAATGCCAGAAAGAAAAAAAAAAAAGGAGTCTATTAATCAAGATCCCAGAAAGGGCTAAGGAAAAGCCAGCTTCAGAGAGAAGGAACATTATTCTGAGATAGATGAGAAGGGGTAAAGATAAAGAGACATTTTTTAAGTAGAGAGTAGTTTAGAGACTACACGTTAAATGGCTTTGATCTCAACACAGTAGAAGGCAAACTCATCCTCTGAGATGAATGGATCTCAGTGCCAGTATAGATTGAAGGAGAATTAAAAATGTTTGTAATAATTACTTCCCTCATTAACTTCTTCTTTCATACATTCAATACACATTTGAGGACTTAATAGTTGCAGGTAATGTATTAGCCCTCCATATAAAACATAAAAAGATGCATTTAATTGCTCTCTAGAAGCATATAGTCCAGCTCAGTGGTTCAGAAGGTTATAGTTTCACAATGGCAACAGCTAACTTGTGTAGTAAATGCAAGTTCCTGGGCCCGAGTAGACACTGAATCAGAAATTCTGTGTGCAGCCTAGCAACCTATGCTTTTAACAATTTCAATGCTCAAAGTGTAAAAAACAATAGTTTGTAGAAGATCAACAGTGACAATAGTTCTGAACAAAAATTGGTAAGCACAGGTGATGGCTGTCATGATGTAATTTTTCTATGCAAAAATGTGTCATGAATTTTCCAATAACTCAATATATTCCATTTAATAATACTATTGTATCACTTTTCTCTCCAGTTTTGTTTCTTTTTTCTCTTAGTGCTGATAGAATTCCAGAACTTAGCCCTAACCCTAAGCCCTTTTAACTGGCAATGAGAAAAATCTCAAAAAGGTACAGATTAAATGTTCCCTTTCCCTGCAGCTTCTAAAAGAAAGGATTTTGCATCATGAAACTGTGCTTGCACACATTATTTCTAACAAAGGATTCTTATAAAATATTCAGACTTCAAAGACTGATAATATGTCCTAAAAATGTCCCTAATTCTCATTGGCTTAATAAAACCTGACTCAGCTAAGCTGCTTCTTTAATCTGTGACTGACTTAAATTAATACTAGGTAGATAAGATAGAAGCAAAAAGAATAACAAGAAAATAGGATGTATTTGAGAAGCTATTTCAGTATTTCTTTAGTACAAATTTGGAGAGGAAGGACAAAGAGGAAGATAAAAGGTTAGAAGGCAGAGCATATGAAATATAATAGAGTTAACATATTCTTTTATAGGTGATAAGAAGTTATCAAAAAACACAATGTGAACAGGAAGTAAATGAGCAAATACAGATGAAAGTTGCATGTTAAAGGTGGACTGCAGTGGATCTACGTAAGTGTTTGCCAACCAATCAGTACCTTGTTCCAACATTATGTGATTTTTTTCTTTAAAAAAAATCCAAACTATGTAACTTGAAACTTTATTTTTAAGGTATTCTGAACCTTGATCTTTTGAAGAATTTTAACCATTATCTACTTCCCTTCAACATACACACTTTTTATCTTAGTAGGCCCTATTCACTACAAAATAAGAAACAATGATTCTATTAACTCTGCCAGCTAATCAATAATTAATGGCTTACTATGCCATCGCCTGGAATCACTCAAGCAAAAAATTATTTTAGTTTTCTTTAAAGATATTTATAAAGTTTATTATTTCAGGAAACCAAAGTAATTGATTCAACCATACTTAGTTCTAGCATGCAGCAAGCCATCATTTAACATCTAATGCTTACTTTCATTAATATGGATGTATACATTTTCATTCCTTTAAAGTTTCCAAAGAAGCTTGCAAACAATAATAAAGTAAATATTTTGTTACAGGTACTTCAAATAGCACTACAGTACATCTTTGACAAAATTTTTACAATCTTCCAACTTTCAATATGAAACGGCTTAAAAAGGCATAGGCCAAATAAAAAGTGTAGCAATATCACTTAGGCAAATAAAGTCTTATAACCATACAAGCACAACACTGTCAAGATTCTTATTTAGATTGTAAAGGGAGTCTATAAGACATTCCCTTCAAATAAAATGATATAAATAACTTAGGAAAATGCCCAAATCCATTATTAAGATAAAATACACTCTTGAATTTTTCTTTTTGGAAATACAAACCAGTTTTCTCTTGCTTTTACATAATAGATAAATTTTTGGACAGTTTTGTATAAATTCTGTAAACCACAATCTTGCTTGTACTGGAGGAATAGATCTCAGAGAAACCTAATAAATACTACTTTTTATTTTTTTAAATAAAATTAGTTTATTTTTTTCTCCTCTGCTTTAGTTGAATGTTTCTACTTAAAAAACAGGCACAAATATACAGCACTGGGTATTTTATTTGTACTTTCATGTTTCATCTATAAATTAAACCCAAGTTATTTAATATTCACTTAGAGTAAAAGCAGCAAGCAGATCACCTCCCCAATTTATGCCCATTACCTCCAGCAAAAGACAGTTCTTAGAATATGATAAACTTACAATTGTTCAGCTATCCAAATTCTCAATAGAAGACTTTTTATTACAGTGTGCTAGGATAAATATCCACCTCTCCTTTTCACCTTAGAAACACAATGTTTAATTTCTTTTATTGTTAGATCATTCTTAAAAGATTGCATAAACAATGGCAAATATGAAGGACAATTTATGATTATGAACTTTTATATTTAGAATAAAATATTTCTCAAATCATGACAATCATGTTTAGAAGAATGATACCCTTAACTCTATAAGAATTTTTTCTATACAGGAATAATTACCTTACTAATTAAAGTAGCAATTTAATAAGAACCAAAATAACCTTCTTTAGTATTAGTTTTGCAAAAATATAGGGAAATAATAACTAAAACTAGACCTAGTCACTACCAATTATCAAACCTAGAATAAATTTAGTTAAATCATAGGGCCACTCAATTAAACAGGTATTAAAGCAAAATTTTACTAAAATAAATATTAGTCTTATGGAGATGCAAATCTCTCAGTGAGAGTTTTAAGTCTATGACTACTGTTGTCACCCATTAACAAATGTAAGAATTGCATTTATTCCTCTGAATAGATAAAACTACACACATATTATCAAAAAGATTATGGCACTTAGAAAGTCTTACTGGAAAGTAAACATAATAAATGTATATAGGTGCACCGAGTCTCCTTACTACTTTTACATTTTTTTGGGAAACACAACAGCAGCCTGGGCAAAGAATGAAAACAAAAAAATCTGCATTACCTGAAGAAAAGAATATGAATTATCACATATATAGCTTTGAAAAGGCCAATGAAAATAATGGTATAATTTTTTTCATCCATTTTCACTTTTACTGCCTCTGTATTTTTTTAAACTTAAAAAAGATTTGTACTACAACTTGAACTGTAGGTGAAAAAATTATACTTTCCTATGAAATGCAAAATAAATGAAATAGAGTGGGGCTATTTGCTGTAGCTAAAAGACCAGTTTTTGCCTCTCTGTCTTTTGTATATACCTAAAAAGAGATGGCATGTCTTAAGGAGTATGAAAGAGACTGTTATTTGCACAGCATGGTGGATTTATAATTTTCAATATAGCCAAAACAAGTTTATATTAAAATACAATGTTTATAACATCAAATCATGTTCTTCTCTCTAAAATATTAATTTGGCTAATTCTAAAACACTGTATTGATTTTCTATATATCTTACTGCCTTACTATGCAGGACAAGTTAACTGCCTATGAAATCATTCAATCTAATGAAGATCTTTTGATAAAAATGCATTTTAAACAATATAGGCTTTCAGAACAAGCTTGCCAGAGACCAAAAATATATTAGTGATTTGTCACTTATGTAAGTGAATTTAAGACAATACTTTCTCTTGTGGTCGTTCTTTAAAGTGAGTAAGTTGATGTCTCTTCCAGTGAGGAGCTTGTCTGAATGTTTTGCCACAAACTGAACATTCAAATGGTTTCTGCCCTGCATGAATTAGATAGTGTCTTTCCAGTTTAGATGGAGATCGGAAACTTTTAGAACAAACACTGCATTGGTAAAGAAGGCCATCATTTCTCTCAGGACGCCCTGAATAGCTACAACAAAGATGGCTCTGCTCTGATTCCAAAAGTACATTAGAGAAATAGGGCTGCTTGTTCCTACAGTGGCTACCAAGAATAAAATCCTGTGATTCTGCCTGAACTTTTATTTCTGATATTGGCTCTGGTTCTGAGACCTCATACTTTTGAAAGCCAAGAGCTTGACATTGTTGGGATGGATTACAGTTAATATTATCACCTGGATGAATGAAAAGTTTATTTAAATGTCCAAATTCTGCATGGCAAAGAGATCTTCTATAAGGAATCTTTTCAATATGAGTCAGTTTATGTCTTTTTAAGTGAGCTGACTGTCTAAAAGATTTTCCACAAACATTACAGCCAAAAGGCCTCTGTCCAGTATGAATTAAATAATGTCTTTGTAGTTTGGATATAGAAGGAAATACTTTCTCACATTTGTCACAAGGACATATCTTATGTCCAGTATGTATGTTTTCACTCGGAACTGAAAAACCACACTGAAGCACTTCACAGTTATTAAAGAATTCCTCACCTGATGAGCCATAGATTGATATGTCTTTATTATTCACTGAATTATCTATAGTTAACATGTTTTCTGTCGCCAGAATATCTTTCAAATTTTTGCCCATATTTTGGCTCTGGAATTGCTTTTGCCAAGAAAATGGCAAAGTCAATGTTTTCATCTTTTTATTGCCAACTGTCTTACATGTTCCATGTTTGCCAAGAGAACTTAAAAATGTTCTCTGGGTATGATCAGAGTTCTGTTCACCAGAAATAAGATCACAATTTTTCAAGAAACTGTTTTTCAATAGTTTTTTCTCAGACTGAAAGTTACCTAATTTCTTACCCCCAGCACGTTTAAGCTTGGCCAAGATTTTTTTAACAATGGTTTTATAGTTGTAGCTTCTTTTGAGCCTGCCTGGAATTTTGCCACCTCTGGCAGGAAAACACTTGTGTCCATTGAGAATCTGCTCTGATTCAAAACATTCTTCACACTCTGGACACTGAAAAGGGACGATATAAATAGAGTGGACTTCAAGTGGATTATTCTCCTCAGATTCACCCACATCACCATTTTCAAAACTATCTTGCTTTGCATTAAATTTATTAGGCAGGGGGCATGATTCTGGACTTCTTGCCTTTAATGAATGAGTCTTATTCCTAGTATGGATTTGTTTATGCTTCAGAAGCTTGCTTTGAATCTTAAATCCTTTTTGACAAAAACAACATTGAAAAGGTCTTTCTTCTGAATGTGTGAGTTGGTGGATTTTTAAATGAGTTGACTGTCGGAAAGATTTACTGCACAAGACACATTTAAAAGGCCTCTGGCCAGTATGAATAAGTGCATGTCTATCAAGTTTTGACTGTGATGGAAACATCTTGCCACAGATTGTACATGCATGAACATTCTTTCTTTTCTTCGTAGTGCTATATGTGGGATCAGACTTAGAGCATGGGTATAAAGCCCATCTTTCCTCTGGGGTAAAAGTATTATAAACTCCGTACACTGGCTTTTCTTGGTTAGCCTCCAGCAGTCTTCTGACCTGTTTAACATCATTCTGACAGGTTTCATTGTGAAGTTGTTGGTGCTTCACAAACGTCTTCAGATTTTTAAAGTGGTGCTGACAAATACTACATTTAAAAGGCAGATTATGAGTTAGCTGATGCCTCTCCAGGTGAACTAGTTGTCTAAAGGTTTTATGACAGACATCACATTCAAATGGCTTTTGACCTGTATGAATGAGATAATGCCTAGCTAATTTTGATGGTGTTTCAAAGTGCTTGAAGCAAATATTGCAAATGTATGGCCTGTTCCTAGGTAGTTTGTTGGCAACTACACATTGTTGAATCTTTAGCATTTTAACATTGTTTTCAGCCATCATATTCTTTAGTGACGCACTGTGATGCACTCCATAGTGTTTTTAAACTCCACAGATGTCTAAAAAACAAAAGCAAAAATATATTAATATTAAAAGTATTTATTCACATTAAAAGAAATAATTTAAGATGCTTTTTGACTAAAGATATTAAGGGTAAAGGAGAATTGGAACATTTGATGTGTTTACAAGCAAGCTAACCATTTTAGATGAATACTTTTAGAATCATAAACCAAATTACACACACAGACATATGACCTATAAAAAATTTAAGTTGTTTTTCTATTAAAATGCTACTTAATGGGAGACTTTGTTGAATTTCTTCACATTAAGTAATTTAATACCAATTTTCTGATTTTACTATTAAACAGATTTGCTAATATTTAGTTGCTTTGTCCTTTAAAAAAATTGGGCTAGAAAGGTAGAGTGTAAGAACTAAAATAGAATACTAAAAATAAGACAGATTTGTACTGAATCATCATACACATAATCTGAGAATGGATTATCCACTTATTTGCACATAATAGACATAATCTGAGAATGGAACATCCACTTATCATTAACACTATTTACTCTCAACCACTTCTTTAGATCAGGAAGAATATGGACAACTAGGAGAGAACTCCCAGAAGACCTGAGTTTTGGTCCTGGATTTGCCACTGTACAATCCTGTTGGTGGGAAGAAGGAAACACAGATTGTTCATCTGTAAAATGCATACTAGTCTATCTACCACACCAAGCTGTTTTGAGAATTAGTGCAGATAAATGTATTGGAAAACTATAAAGCAATATGTAAATGTAAGGTATTTTTCAGTTCAACACTAATCAAATTTTAAAACTTTATCCTGATCTCCTTATAACAGTTTTAGGGTTTCTAAGACTCTAAACAAAGCAACTAAATATGCCATCCTTTTTGATTCTCATTTCAACTTTATTGTGGAATTCCTAAAAGACAAGTACAGAGGCAATGAGGTTAACAAATCAGCTACTTACATTTTTTTATACATAGCTAAGTATATAATAAAAGGGTTGTGCCAGTAGTGTAGTACAACAGTTGAATGCTATGCATAGGGAGCTTGATCCCATATGGCTGACCATTGTTCAAATTCCTGCCCCAGGGGCTAGAAAAACATGCAGGGCACATGAGCATGTGTGCCCCAAATCCTGATGGTATGGAGAAATGGAGAAAAAAAAAAACAACATAAAATCATGCCTCATGGGGGATTTGCTTCCTCTCTCTTTTGGGGGCATGCATGTGCCCTTTGGCTATACATAAAAATAAAATAACATAAAACTAATCGGTCGTCTTGGTCTCGGAGTTAATATGAAGATAATTCCTTCCTTATATACTTCTCCAAGACATATATAAAAAGTTTACCAGGCACTTTCACAAACATCTTACATTCCATTTCTATTTTTATCAGAGAAGTCCATTTTCTTTTCATTCTTTTTACTATTGCACTGCCCTAAAATAGAGGGGTTAGGAAAAAAAAAAAAGTTTTGCTAGCTCTCTCATTCTATTTGAGATCAGACAATTGATAAGACTACAAGAAACTCAGGGTTCTTTTATCTGTTGATTTGGTAAATGTCTAACATATATGCTGTTTACTGTCTTCTCCTCCAAAGACATCTTAAACACAAATCACAATCACACCCACAGTGGTTCTCTCTAGCAATCAGAATTAAAAACAGAAAAAAAAAGGTATTAAGTAAATACCTTGGGCCAGCTGTAGATGGTACTTAAGTCAGCGAGATCTCACATGTCTGACTGTATGATCTGAGTCATGGACCTGGAGGCTTAGAAAATACACCAGGTACATGTGTGTGCATGTCCAAGGTCCCAAGAGGAGAATGGAGGAGAGAGAATTGTGGTGGCCATCCTCTCTGGGGGTTGCTTTCTCACTTTCCCTCTCTCCTGAGCTCTCTCTCTCTCTGGCAAGCATACAAACCCTCCAGCAAATTAAAAAAATACATAAATAAAAAAATCTTCTAGTTGCTTTATCACAGTATTTTCTAAACTGCAAAACGTACTCATTAATGAATTGTGAAGTCAATTTAGTGGATCACAATCAGCAATCTGTTTAATAGGGTAGAAAATATTAATATTAGAGAGCATACTACATAGCAAGGATAAATATTATTTTGTAAAACTTCTGTAGGAAGAGGAGTTTGTGAAAGTTTGTGAAAGAGTTCTGACATCTCTCTTAACAGTGGACAGAGGGCCTAACAACAAATAAAACAGCTTTATCCAAAGTGGACAAGTAGTCTATTAAGTTTGTAAAGATCAGGACCCATAGGATGAGACAAGATTACTAAGGAAAGCAACAATATCCACTTTCCCTCATTTTCCCATATTACTCCAAAATACTTATTTCAAAAAAAAAAAAAACCAAATTAGAGGCCAAAAGAAAATTGCCACAGAAATCTATGGAAAATTGTCTGACTGTAAGCCACTTTATTAATTTGTAAAATACACCATGTAACCCAGACATCCATCTTAGCAAAAATGAACTTTTACACATTTTCACTATACTGAATTAGAGAAATCACAGGTGAACAATATCCAAAATCTCTAAACATGCTGACACAGAACAAGAGTCAAGAGGATTAAATCATGAATCCAATTAATTACCAAGAACTTGGTAATTATTAATTCCATTGAGCAATTATGTGTCAAAGTGGCCAATCAGGACAATGAAACAAACTGAAAGTTACAAGCTTTTTTTTCACTTACTGCAACAGTGCAAAGGAGAGGTAAAGAAAGGCACTGACTCATCAGTGGTCTGTTAGGACATTAGTTGAGGGCCAGGTACACACAAGGGAATCCTCTCACTATAGAGGAGTCCCTGACAAAGGTTCCTGTCTTTTGTGAATCCTAAGGTCAGGGGATGCAGGAGGAAGTACTAGGAGTAGAAATGTCCTTGGTAAAAACAGAGGAAAGTACCTCGTAGGTGAAAGTTTTTGGGAAGCGCCTCAGCCAGGAAAGAAATTACAGTATGAGCATGACTAGCAGGAGGAAAGAGGTGAGTCCTTGATGGCAACTCTTCTCAGAAAATATCCATGCACTCTCCATTCACCAAGTCTGGAATGGGGATGGCAGCTTCCTCTATGAGGCCAGTGATGTAAAGCCTAGGAACTGTCTTAGCTGGGGCCTGAATTATTACACAGAGTATTCTGGGCTGGAGCTGGTCTCCTCAATTACTACAGTTTTTCCTTCCCTTTAATAAACGTTTCTGTAGAACATGCCTCAAAACAACAACCTACACTAGAACTTCCTGTAACAACCATTTCTAATTATAACAGGATTGGCTACTTACAGCTCCTGTGCCAGAAAGGGTCAAAGACTGATTATGCATCACTAGCACTGACTGGGTACAATATTATCACTTGCCACTCCACCATGTGGGAAAGCACTTACTGGGAGCCATATATTGTTAGAATTATTGGTGACAAGTGGTGATCTCATTTCCTATTTGTGTTGCGTCTGGGATCCATCAAGCTGCTCCAAGTGCAGTCCCACGTGTACAGATGTTCCCTGACTTACGATGGGTTTAATTTATAATTTTTCAACTTTACTATGAGTTGATTGGGGTATTAAAAGCATTTTCAATACATAATATTGATTTATGAGCAGATTATCAGGAAATACCCCACCCTAAATTGAGATGCATCTGCATGTACAGAAGAGTACAAATAAAGTTAAACACCATTTCAACTGTTTTTCTGTTCTCTTTATTCATTTTTTTCTTTTGTTGACAACATTTAAAAAATCAGTTCAATATCATGTAATTTTTATGTTAAACTGAAATAAAAAAATAAAGCAATGTATCTGCTCAATGCAGGAATTATCCTGACAACAATAAGACACAATCCCCTGGACGACTATAACAAATTACCTCAATAAAATCCAATGTCGCCTCAAGGCCGAAAGTCTGCTGATTGTTCTTGTCTTAACTAACACTATTAAAAAGAAGTGAGGACATCCCAAAAGGAAGTGAACAAGAATATCGAAAGACATGAGAGAAACAGATAACTTTCGGTTGGAGAATAATCACTGTCGGGATTTTTCACAGCCTTTCCCTCTTTTTAGCTTCTTCAGCTTCACCCCTCCACCCAACTTTCCGACTCCGGCCCAGTTCTGCGGACCTGAACCTTTACTTCTCTTTCCCAGAGGGACTACAGTGGACAAAGGACCCTGACATCTAGCACTTGCCCTAATTGCCCAAACCAGCAAGCAATCGGGTGTCGAGGCGATTACAGACACTACACAATCCCACATCAGAAAGAGAAAGAAGGGTAAGAGTGAAAACTGCCACGGGTGATACGACCTAGGAAAAAGCATCTTTTCTATGTCTTCCTCGCGTGGATTCCTGCTCCCCCCGAGTCGTACTCAAGAGACGGAGGTTTGAGAAAGGAAAACGAGCTGATGAGCTGAGGTCGTGGCGCCCCAGTTCTAGGTCCCCGGACACCACAGGGCAGTGGGAATCCTGACCCTCCCCAGGGGTCGCTCCACCTCGCACCCAGGTTTCGGAAGTTCTCCTCACGCACCTGGAGCAGGCAATGGCCCAGGAGCCGCGCATCTCAGGGCCCAGGAGCCCCGAAGGCAGCGAGCGCACGTCCACAGGGCCGGCGCGGTGACTGGCTGAGCGCGCAGGCGCGGCGCCCGGGGACGCCCGGGGACTGGTCCGGCTGGAAACAGGTTCCCTCCCTTGTCAGGGCCGTCCTCGTCTGCGTGCGCCCGACGGTCCAGGGGAACCGTGACTCCAGAGGCGCGTCCCCAACCCCAGGGCTGTTCGTGCTCTTTCGTAATTGAAGGGGACAAGTAGAAGCCTGAAGAAACCCTACATGTCCCATCTCACTCTTGAACCCAAATTAGAGAACCCTGTAGTCTGGACGAGTGGGTCCAAGTGGCGACCAGAACTGGGGAATTAGGGTTCAAAGCCCTCTGCACGAGTCCTCCCTAAGGCAGAGGGCCAGGGGTAAACCAAACGCCACGTTTTAGGGGCTTTCCGTGCCAGGATTGTCCTCAGCACTTTGCACATCGCCAAAATAATGCGTAGACCCGGGGCGGGGAGGGGGGGACGAGGACACTTCCTGATCAAACCCAAGGGTACTCCACTCCTGGCTCTACCAATGGCCTCCTAGCTGCAGACCTAGTTGGTCTCGCTTTGCCTCATTCATTCCATGCATGCTGATTGTTTTCAAATTACCAAGCCTTTTGCTCAGTGCCTTAGTGTGCTCAACCTAATTTTTAGTGCGTAGTAGGCCCTCAAAGACCAATTCTAATTGATCACTATTTTTATATTAAATACAACTTTATGAAGTGATAAGAGCTATTACAGTTGATTATTTTATATTAAATACAATAGTTTTATGAAGTGACAACAATACCCCTGAGTAAAAAAATACATGAATAAATTTTCTTAGTTTGTATCAGCTAAAAAATATGCCCTAGAGTTCTGAGTAATTTACTTTACACAATAAGATGAACGCCTGCTCTCTTTGCCTCCTGACGAATTCATACTTTCTGCACACTGTGATTATGGTCCCACAATGTGCACATTGTGACAGATTTTAATGTTCAACTGTCACAAAACAACAGTCACAAGTAGCATATAAAGATTGAAGACATCCAGGTATCTTGAGTTTTTTGTCTTCAGTTTTTTTTACCCAGAACAGAACTGACAATAACACTCACTTTGGATGCTCCTTGTGGTTGCCCAGCACCAAGAAAATAGCACCATCCATCACGGATGGCATCCCAGAAACTTTTCTATAAAGCCCCTAAATTCTACCCCCAGGCCCTCACATTGTCACATTCCTGGCTTATGTTTAAAAATCCTGCTTGTCTTCAATCCTAAAGACCATACTTTAAAAGTCTTGGGCTCTAGCACTCTCCTGTACTAAAGCCTTCCCCTACATAAACTCTCCTTGTAAAAAACTCTCTTCCGTAATAAAGTCTTCCCTACATAAACTCTCCTTCTCTCAGACATTGGCTTAGTGTGTGACAAGTGGTCAGGCTCAGTCTGTACATATGTCCAGTAACAATAGTGACACAGGAGATAGAATGCTAAGACATAGGTAGCTAAGATATAAAGCCCAAAGATGGAGGCACAATAGTCAAGATTGCACTAGGAACTGCTTGCTCACAAGAAACAGCTTGTAGCAGTGAGTTAATGATTAATGTAAGTAGCATGACCTAAAAGCAAATATAGCAATTAAGACTTTTTCTAGGTCCCACCACATTCCAAGAACAAGATAATGGCCCAAAGCTTTTAGACAAAAAGGGGTTCATGACTTATGTACTCACTCCAAAACTAGGAGAATAATAGCTTGACTCACCTAGCATGTGATCCCCACCATAAGGGGAAATGCATGTACAAGTTCCTCCTAACCAGGTAAAAAACACTGATGAGAGCTCCAAATTGGCAACCCATTTTCTGGGACCCCTCCAGGCTGCCTGGGAGCTGTTCTTATCTTTCAATAAGCATTGCTTTACTATCCCCTCTCTGTGTCTGCTTCTCTAATTTTTTGTGAGTGTGAGACAAAGAATCAGGTTCACTGCTGTTCATGTATTGAGTATTTGGTCAATGCACCCTAATATTCCACACGAATAGGATTCCATGTTAAGATAAGAACAAGTCTTAGGGACATTAAAGACCTTATTTGACATCATATAGCTGATAAACAGTACAGGTGGGATTTGAACACAGGAAGTTGAATACCAGGCCTGCACTTATAATTCATTACTGCTTCTCAAATTATAGATATTTCAACATTTTATGCAGATACAATTAAGAGTCAAATGTTGTAAAACATAGACTAAGGTGACACATTATTACTGAATAGGATACTAAGATGCCCACTAATGCCTTCCTCATGTAGAAACCCAAGAGGGGTAAGATTTGGGAAAGGCTGAAGCCTTTGCTTCCAGTGAAACAGAAATGGAGAAGGGAAGAGAGAAACTTTAAGTGTTCCAATAACTAATCCCAAGGTAGGAATGCTGTTTGTTCGGATAACCCTTGGAGATCTAATTTTTGTATCATAGCACTTTGATTGCCACCAGTCACATAGAGTCAGGTGTGGAAATTTCCACTTGAGATGTGATTTCACCACTCAAAAAGTTTTGGATTTTGGATTTAGATTTTTATTTATTTATTTTTTTGTTACTTAGTTTTTACTTCAAAATCATAAACTTAACTTTGCAATTCAGCAAGATTTGGAGGGGAATAAGGAAAATATGGAATCCAAAGAACTGCACTGAGATCACAGATTACAGGACATAGTGAGCAGATGGGGTAGAGGAGTGCTCTCCTAAGCTACAGAAGGAAGGGTCTGATGGGTAAGAGAAAACAAGTCAAATTCATTAGAGTCGTCCACAGTCAGCAGTAGTGATCTTGCTGGTCTTGCCATATTTGGACTCAAAGCACTCCACGGCTTCCATGATATTCATGCCCTCTTTCACCTGACCAAAGACCACATGTTTGCCATCCCACCACTCAGTCTTGGCAGGACAGATGGAAAACTGAAAGCCATTCGTGTTGGGTCCAGCATTTGCCATGGACAAGATGCCAGGACCAGTATGTTTCAGGATGAAGCTCTCATCATTGAATTTCTCACCATAGATGGACTTGCTGCCAGAACCATTATGGCATGTGAAGTCACCATCTTGGTACATAAAACCTGGGATAATTGTGTGAAAAAAAGGAACCCTTATAACCAAATCCTTTCTCTCCAGTGCTCAAAGCATGAAAGTTTTCTGCTGTCTTTGGAACTTTGTCTGCAAAAAGCTTGAAGGAGATGTGTCCCAAGATCTCGCTATTGACAGCAATGTCAAAGAACACAGTAGGGTTAACCTTGGTTGAGGGTGAGAGACTTGTGCTGCAGCATTGGCAAAGCCAAATTTTAGATTTCTAGATAGGGATGCTCAAGTTGTCTATATGCATCTATTTGGTTATAAAAATATAAATGTTTTTATTTTAATATATTTATGTAAATCCATTTTACATAAAATGTTATATATTTTATAAACATTTCAGTATATTTTATATAAATTGTTATACATATTATAAATATTTAAGTATATTTCATGTAAAAAATATGTAATATCTTATATATTTACATTTTTATGTATAAAATATATGCTGTTCTATTGGGTCATTAGATAAGTTATGATGCATTTTTGCATAGAAAAACATGGATGCATCTATGACTTTCCTGTCAACCCAATATATTTGTTATGTATCATGTATATGCATGTGTGTGCATTTCCATCCTTGCAGTTCTGCTTCTCTGACTACCACTGAGGGAGAAACAAAAGCAAAAGCAGGTACACTTGTTAAAAGACTTTTACAATTTAGTCCAGATCCAGAGATATTGTCATGGAGATGGAAAGATGTGTACCAATTTAAGACATATTTTGAAGGTTGTGTTAGCCAGAGTTCTTCAGAGAAACAGAACTAGTAGGTTGAAAGAAAACAGAGGAGGGGAAAAATAGAATTATCATAAGAAACTGGTTTATGCAATTAGCTGAAGACCCAGAAGAGCTGATGGTGTAGTTCTAGCTTGAGTCTGAAGGCTTGAAACCAGAAAAACTAATGACATAAGTTCCAGTCCAAAAGCCAGCAGACTTAAGACTCAAGAACTGATGTTTCGATTCTAGTCCAAAGGCTGTGTTATTAGTTCAAAGACTAATGTTTCAGCTTCAGCAGTAAGGCAGAAAGAATTTCCTTTCACACTTAGGAAGGTCAGTCTCTTTGTTTTATTTGGCCTTTAACTGATTGTATGGGACCTGCCCACATTAGGAATGACAATTTACTTTACTCAGTCTACCCATTAAAATGCTAATGGCATACAAAAATACCTTCACAGACATACCCAGAATAATGTTTGAACAAATGTCTGGCACTTCATGGTCCAATCAAATTAACACATAAAATAAACTTTGGCAAAGGTAGAATTTACAAAGAGTGTATATGGGAACCAGCAGGTGGCACAGTGGTTAAGGTTCCCATATGACTGCTTGTTGTTCAAATCCCAGACCTGGAGCCTTGAAAATCATGCTAGATGAGTGTGCATGCATGCCCCAAACCCTGAGAAGAGAATAGAGGACAAGGGACTACAGGGTGACCAACCCCAGGGGATTGATTTCTTACCTCCTTTTCACAGTTCTCTCTCTGGTGAACGCATGCACCCTATGGCCAAAACCTTAAAAAGGAAAATAAGTAAATAAATAAAATGTGTAGATGTATACTGAATGCTGAGCTGCCCGCTAAACACTCACATTAGGGCTTACATGTAGAGGTACTCCAAAGCTGGAAATTCTTAATACTTTTTTTTTATAAGGGGTCCTGAAATTTAATTTTTCATTGGAACTTACAAATTATGTAACTGGTCCTAAATGAATAAGAAGAGTGACAGGAGAGATTCAAAGATTACAGAAATGTTTTTGTCTCAAACAATTGTGTGGATGGTAGTACATTTAGAGCTGCAATTTGAGAGAGAAATAAAGAATTCCGATTTGAACTAGTTAGCTTAGAGCTGCCTTTTAGACATTATGGTAATATATTTGTTGATTGCCTCCTCAGCATTCATTTTGCTTTTTCTGATTCCTAACTAGATCCAGTTTTCCAGTCTC